CCTTGTGTACATCCCTCCCACATTGGGGGCAGCAATGACCCACTTCACTTTATACATCCCCCCCCCCGCATTGGGGATTGGTACAACCCCCTTACATCCCCCCTCCCAATATAAAACTTCAGTGTCTACTGTCCCCTTCAGCTGTCCCAGATAAGAAGCTGGTGGGGGTCCTGGTGACGGGGGTTGGTATGATGGCTCTGCTCATCATCAGCATCGGAGTCATTCCTCAGAGCAAGAGGTGAGCCCATCATGTGTCAGGGGTGAGCAGACCCTCTGGGGACATTTCCGGCTGTTAACACACCGTGTCAAAGGGAAAAGCAGAAATAAATAAATCTCACTCACAGGTCAGCTGACGCTCCTTAACCAGCCCACCCACCGCACACACTCTCAAAGCATGATTCGTTCCTGCCTGTGTATGTGTGTGGATTTGTTCTTCTAACGAACTCAACCCATGTGGGATAAAATGAGATGAAGGCAGGTCGATTTTCCCTTTCAAGCCACGCTTTGATACCCCCACCCACCCCCCGACAGGTTAAAAGCCTTCCTTCTGCCCCCCATTCCCAAGCCACGGATCAGGGGCATCGATTCTGCGCTTCTGAAGGTGAGGAAAAGGCTCTCCATCTTCCCCTCACTGTTTTTCAATTATCGTTATGCTGATTTAGTTAATTTATCTTGTTTGCCTTGTTCCTTCTCTCTGAAACCACAGGATTTCTTTAACCTCACTGTCCTTTTTCAGTTAACTTAAAGTTATTTTATTAGGAGGACAGCCGTGGAGAACTGTTTTAATAGCTAACATCGGTCAACCATATCTAACCCGCTCTTTATTGATTATATACTCAGTCCCTTATTTTTAAACTTTGTGAAAATGAGTGAAAGGCTTTTATGCCTTAATCCCAAGTAGCAGGTGAAATTATTTTAGATAAAAGCATAGAGCAGTACTGTAAAGTATTGACTATTTGAAAGCTAATGGAAAGCATGTGACGAAAATGTTATTTTGCTTTTCTATTCTTCTGTCTCTCAAGAATGGCAAAATAGATGAGATCAACCGCCTGTTCAGCTCATTCCAAGGATACACACCTGGCCAGCACAGCGAGGAAGCTCTGCTTCAGCTGAATGTGGATGAAGACCTTACCTTTATAGGGAGCCCTGTAGCCCAGTCAAGCAACAGCAAATGGGAAGTCCCACCTGATAGTCAAGGACATGGCTTTCTAGCGGGTCAGGAGCTTCTTGAGGAGGCAGTGGGACCTGCTATATACAGCCCGAGTCCTGGTGCCTGCGTACAAGGTTCTGCCCCCAGCCAGGTGGAATCTCCCAGCAGCCCTGTGGTAATGATGTCTGTCTGGGCTCAGCCTCCTCTTGGCACTGCACACACTGAGTTTCTCACTTTCCCAGCTCTGGGCTACAGCGTAGCGCTGGGCCCGGCACCAGTCCAGCCTGCCAATCAAGGCTTTTACACCTGTGTGAATGGAATTGGCACTAGAGGGGCAGTCCACCTGGTGCCGTGCCTCCCCGATCACCCAAAACACGTCTCCTACCCGCAGCTTGGGAGCCCAGTCGACACAGTCATAAAGAGCCTGGCGGAGGGCGGGAGTCAGCTGGCTGCAAACAATGGGCAGGGGGAGCAGGGCGGGCTGGCAGCTAGCCAGGGGGGCGTGTCAGCTAGGGCGGGGCTAGACACTTACACAACCCTGGATGACCTCAGGATAGGTAAAGAGCTCGGTGTGAGCACAGCCTCCAACCAATGAGAGCCACCCTGGGTCTACTATCCCTACAAGTAGAGAGCGCTACAAGTAGGTGCAGCCCAGGCCAAGTCAACCCTGCTTCAGAGAGTGTCTTAATGCCGAGATCAAGATTAACTCGATGTGCCTGCAAGTAGTCATTAAGGGGACATTAAAAGCACCTTATTTGGTCAAGGAAACTCATATGATAGAACAAAAAGGCTTTATTTTTTATCAATGGTTTTTTTGACTGGGGTCTTTATATTCGAGGGTAACTGCAGGTTCAGGTAAAATAATCTCAGGTCATGGACAGCAGGAGCTGGGCTGGAGATTCTGTGTTGCCTTTGTCCTGCTGGGACCCTGACTTCTCTCGATCTACCAGTTGGCCACAACGCCAGGAACATTCAGGAGACAGAATAATGCAGGGTGTTACGGGAGCACTACGGTCACTGTGAATTGAAGACTTTCATTCATGGCCTTCATAGAGGACAATTTAATCAGCCGTGACTTGGATATGAAGTTTAATATTCTGTTCTGACTTGGAAAAATACAGGCTGTGTTTTGCTAATGAACCATAAGGAAAAGTAAGGAACTAAGACCATGATTGATTTCAAGAAGAATCCACAGTTTGTAGCCATCTCTGAACAATTGGTGACGTGATTGTTTTTTGTTTTTTTTTTATGGACTGCAGGCTTTTTTTGTCTTTCCTGAAAAATGGGCACAGCTAGATGTTATTCTGTTAGTGTCCACAGGGCTTGGCTCTTGGGGAGAGACGGCAGACAGAGGACACCCACCTGTGGAGGGTTCAGACATCGGTGTCTCCTGTTCTTATTATAAAGAAAAACACTAGACAAGCAAAAATGCTGTGCACACACCCCAACTGATATATACTATTACTGCATTGGTTATCTGCTTATAATATGGGTCAAATGATACATTTCAAGTCTGGCCTGCTTAAAGTACTTATTCTACCTGAAATTCTATACCAGAAGAAATTGCTTATTAGGCTGTGCTCTCTATGAACGTCAGGGAGAGCACACAGCATGTAATTCACGCAAACGTTTCTGTATCGGGGTACCTGATATAATAACAAAACACATGCCCATACACCATCCCACGCCGACCGAAGCTGGGAATTCCTGCTTGATGTCTCATTCCATGTATCTGTGGCTGGTCTTATAGTGTTTATAAACAGCTTTTCTATTTTCCCGCATTCCTTTTTAAGAACTTTAATTTGTCTTGGTTATTTAGTTGTCTAGCTAGTACCTCAAAGCAGTTAGGAATTTTTGTATGTAAATAAGTCTGAATTCTTACCTTACTCTGCTGGAGAACATATTACGTCATGTGTAATTCTAACTTTTCGAGTGTTGGATTACTGCCAAACAAAAGATGCAATGAATGACCAGGTTACATGTGAAACAGGTGAGGTGGCTTACTGTTCAGTTAAAAATTTAACTAACTAACTAAAACGAAGACTATCACATAGGCCTGCGTTAGATTTTGATCATGTTACTAAATATCAGTCGAGATGTTCATCAAACTTGTAACCTGTTTTTGAAACTCAAAAAATCTGGGCAGTGTCTCTGTAACCATTGAATGTTGCCGTCAGGCACACTTAAAAAATATAAAATATTATTGTACATACATGTGATTGTGGTGAAGCAGTGGCGTACAAAGTGTTCTTATTTTAAGAGGTTTGAAGATTAAGCCAGAAGCTGCAGATGGCCTTCAGGGAGGAACATAGAAAGTCGAGATGTAGCTGTACATACTGGTCAAAGGTGAGACATCCAAGGTGCCCAACATCAGCATACTTATAAGAAAAAATTCCAGAAATTCCCGTATCTTTTACCCACAACCTTTTCAGAACATTGATCTAGTTATTTCTTCTTTCTAATTTGTTTCAAGCTTCTATTCCTGCCACCTGTTACCTCAGATCAACATGACTGGGTACCGTTGGGGTCAGAGGCGATGCCTTTATTTTGCTTTGTATTGCAGGCAATAGCATGAGTGTGAAATTAGAGCTTCTTTTGGATGGCTAGTAAACATACAGGATCGTTCACAGTGCAAATATGTTAAGAATTTTAAAAGGCCTTTTCTGGGATAATTCCTGGATTTAAATATACTGGTGCATATATTTTGTTTCCACTGAATTCATAGCTCATGCACAGATATCCTATGACTATTTGTATACGAAAGATTAAAATGACTTAATGACAATCAGTTGTTCCCTGCCCAGCGACCGTGAAAAGGATAAGCAGTTACAGATTATGGATGGATGGACAGTATAATCAGTTAAATGGGTACATGTTTGTGAGCTTGTGTTCATTTTCTCTCAGAAACCGAATGCTGAACATGCTTTCGTATCAGAGGTTACTGTACCCCTCCTGATTTACTGTGTTTCAAAACACTGAATTCTGTCCCCATTGTGATTGTACTGTGTTTATACTCTGTGGTGTCTCACCTGTGCCTTAGGCCTGCTTGTGGTAGATACTCCCATCTCTCTCTCTATCCCACTGTCCTGCCCGATCTACCAGGTAATTTACCACGAATTTTTTTTTTTTTTTTATACTCAGAATTCTGAGTGCAGAGTGGCATGGTACAATGGACCAAAAAAACAAACTCAAGTGAATGTGAGAGAAAAACTTCTCTTTATGATTTTGTATTGAATGTAAACATGATTCAGACAGAGGAAGCTGTCACTGTGATTCTGAGTGACAGTTTAAAGAGAGGTTATGATAATAGAGGCAGACGCAAATACACAGCTCTGAAGGAGAACGGGTCTACGAGCGTGTCTACACACGAACATGCAAAGGGCCCTGTGTGTACCATTATTATGGCCAAATGCATTACAGACACACATCATTATGCCACAGAATGGGTATTCTTTCACTGTGCTCAAAGCTTCTCCACAAGTCCCTTGGAAACTTGCCTAGGCAGGGGAGTGAACAAAAAGGCAGCCAACACAAAGATTTGTGTTACACTGAAGTGTTTATTAGTGTCCTTCACCAGTTCAAAGTAGCTTTTCATATGGTAAATAAATCGTCATGTTGGCCTTCAAATGTCCTTTTCAATTTCCTGTTACATGCTTATGATCACAAAGCAAGTCCTTAGAATCAGAGACAACCTACCCCCGGGACTCTGTCCATTGTGTGAAACTATAGTTTACACACAAAAACATGCCCCCTGCCCCCCTCAGGGCCACAACACCCCCATTCTCCAAGTATCTTGTTGAGATGTGGTAGTATGTGAGGGATGTGCACAGTAAAGAAATCAAGAAATGTGCTGTGTTCTGGAGTCATTCGGTACAAGCATTCAATTGAACTGTCTTGATGTGCTTGCATTCTTACTACATTGTTACTGAAGTACAACAAAGCAGGAGACTGACGTTGTCATATACACATCATGTGAAAAATCGTTTTACATTGAAATGTAATTTCATTGGAGAGATCCAGCTTCCACTCCTTTCCGCACAATGAACGTCGTGTAAAGGCGTAACACACTTGATGGAGAACATCCTCTCAAATCTACCCACAGCTCTACCTTTAAATTGTTCATGTCTTTTTACAGAAAGTAGAGAGAACCCACTTAGGCTGAGCTTGTCTCCACACTGAAAAACCCGCCTTGTGAGTATACATGAACAAAAGCAGACAAAATAAACAGTCAGGTCGTTCTGGGTCATTCTGAAGAGCTCAGTGAGTTCAAGCGTGGTACCATTATAGGATGCCACCCTTGCAATAAGTCAGTTTGTGAAATTTCTTCCTTATTAGATATTCCATGGTCAGCTGCAAGTGGTATTATTGCAAAATGGAAGATGAGTCTGGGTGTGGCAGATGCCAGGAGAACATTACCTGCCTGACTGCATTGTGGCAACAGTAAAGTTTGGTGGAGGAGGATAATGGTAATGGGGTTGTTTTTCAGGGGTCAGACTAGGCCCCTTAGTTTCAGTGAAGGGAATTCTAAATGTTTCAGTATACCAAGACATTTTGGACAATTCTATTCTTCCAATTTTGTGGGAACAGTTTGGGGAAGGCCCTTTTCTGCTCCAGCAAGACTGTGCCCCAGTGCACAAAGCGAGATCCATAAAGGCAAGGTTGGGTGAGAATGAAAGTCTTCAGTTCACTGGCTCACACAGAGCCCTGACCTCAACCCCATGAAACACCTTTGGAATGAGGCAGAACGAAGATTACAAGTCAGACTTTCACATACATCAGTGTCTGACCTTGCACATGCTCTTCTGGATGAATGGGCAAAAATTCCCACAGACACTATAAAATCTTGTGGAAAGCCTTCTCAGAAGAGTGGCCGCTGTTATAGCTGCAAAAGGGGAGAAATTCCTATTCATACCTATAGATTTAGAATAGGATGTCATACAAGTTCCTGTAGGTGTAATGGCCAAGTGTCCCAATATTTTTGTCCAGTCTCTGTTTGACCCAGGTCCGCTGCCATAGCTTTGCCACTAGGTGGCAGGATAAAGCTGTTTAACTTCTTCGAAAATATGCTGGACGTATGCTTCTTTAAATTCAGTTGCTGACCATTGAAAATCCTCCATAAATGAAATATGGAATACTCTAGAAAATACTTACGTATAGAGGTTAGTCACGGAGCAAAAAGTAGGACACATACTCAATAAAAATACGTGTTTGCAGTGAAATATGCACAGACAAGACTATGAACTGTTTGCTTCAGAATTAGGACAACATCTGTTAACTAATTAAAATGATAATTTAAAATAACTTGCAAGCTATGAGTAAGTGAAAATAACATTTCGGCGTGTGTATTTGCGGTATGAATTGTGCGCTTATGTTCGCTCGTAATTGCGCGCCTATAAATAGCCATAGTGTCATTGTAAGATGTAGATAACATTAACCTAACCATTTCATATGCCACTCGGCGTTTCAAAGTTATAAACGGACTTTGTTATATTCTCATTACCCCATAGGATTTCGGGGTCACACGTAAAATGACAAATATGTACCGTGGTGTTCTCCATCTCTCCTAACAGCGTTTCTCTGCGGTCACCGACGATACGCAGTGGATGATAATCTCATAATCTGGAACCTCCAGGTGTTGTTCCTTTTGCAGGCAGCCGTGTTGAATCAGTAGAGCAGTTTGATACAAATCATTCATTGTATTGAGAAAGTCTGTTAGGCCTACGTGTCATAAGAAGATGGACAAGTCCATAATAATGACTGAATGGAATCCAACGATAGCAATGAAAATTTCCCCCATCCATCCATCCTTCAACCACTTATCCAATACAGGAACCCTCCTGGAGTCTATGTCAATCATCACAGGGCAGTTTTCATACCTGAATGCTTTTGAACTAGGTGTGAAAACCGGAGTATGCAGCGGAAACCCACGTGACACGGGGAGAACTGCACACTCACAGCGGGGGTGCGATATGAGCCTCCTAAATGTGCGAAATATATTTGACTGTTGTGCTGTTTTGCGTTATTTTTGTCATTAAGCCTGTTAGTTTAAGCCATATTAGTCTTTTCAGATTTTAATGCACTTAAATTCACACTTCGAATAGCCTACGTTTCAGGAAGTGGTTGTGGGTGGAACCCAGCAAAACATTTGCTCTTTACTCACAAACATTTAAAGAAGGCAGAAGTCCAAAACAGATGGCTTGATAAACTGCAAGGGATGATGCACCGCATACTCAACTCTAAGCAGTGTAACTGGTGAAAACTATGGTCCTCTATGACTATGGTTTGCTAAATGTATTATTGATTAACACCTGGAGTTCCTGGTCACTATATAGGGAAAATGATTTAAGAACTAAATTTAATACACATTATCCAAGATCAGTGTGGCCAGGGCCTCAAATCGGAAGTTGAGTACAAACTAAATGTACTGTAAAGTATGATTTAGACTGCTAGCACGGTATGTCATAACAAAAACATATGAAAATGAGAATGAAATTCGTAGTTAAGAGACTATAACCCTTCAAATGCACATATAGGCCTGTCAGAGTTTCAGTGATATTCTCTCAGGAGCATGTTTGTAGGGATCAGGGAATTATTGGCATTTTTCCTCATGCTGAATATTTTTTTCTGATTTTGTCTTCAATTAAAGTCATTAGTGGAAACTTAGAAAAAATGCACCATATTAAATAATCGTTGGTTGACAGATGGCAACATATACACAATGTCCCATGGGACAACAGCACTTAACTTGCACTTCATTTTGTGTATTAATTTACTAAATAGAAGCACATAAATAAGAATATCATTGGACACATATTAAAAGAACTTGAGTCTTGGAATGAAAGTAAAGTGAACTGTGAAATCCATACCATTAGAAGACAAACTACAAGTCTTCTAGAATATTACAACCGCTCAGAAACCAATTTTACATCCCACCATCCAATTCATCCATAACAAAAGAAAAAAAAACGCTGTGACGGAATCGGTTCTTCATTAGTCAGTTAAGATAAGAATGATTTCCGCAGCATATAATTAACCTAATCCCACGCCCGAGCGCCTCATGAACGCGCAGCGTCTTCATTCAGTGGACGTTTCCGGATACAATGCCATCTGACGTTTACTGCTATTTAAATACATTTAATTAATCTGGAATAAATTACAAAATTATAAAAAAAAACGTGCAAACCCTAAGTGTTTAGCATCCGAATAAGGTTGACATTGTTTAATTTAATATTTTTCAAAATAGCAATTCCGTGTTGGATCTCTTTTTTGTTTTTGAAGTTCCTCAGATCTTGCCATCCATTTCCGATAGTCCTGGGAAAGCGTTCTTCTGCATAGATGATACAGCGTTTAATATTTAAAGTACATTTTTGCAGCGCAGCGCCAACGACGGATGCCTCTGCACCCCGTTTCCCACTTTCACTTCACTTACAATATAAATTATTATATATATAGATAATCTCAACAGCGAGACATAATGCAAATTGTTGTGGCGGCGCGGGGTGTGTAGTTTTCTATCTCTGGGTTGGGATTTCTGTTTAAATATTCAAAATGGCGGACGGAGGAGCAACGAGTCAAGATGAGAGTCCAGGGCCAGGTAATCATTACTGCATTTTACATATTCATATTCATATTCAAACGCTCTTTCTCTCAACGCCGATCGAGAAGGAGAGGGAATCAAAGCCCGGCTCTTTTGTGCATTTTCGGCCGCAAAAGTGCGGCGGATTGCGGTTAATTTCGCCGCTGCCTACCTGACTGCGAATCGCAGACAGGAAGCTGGGATTGCGGTGCAATAGCACATTTAAAGAGGGGGAAAAACCCCCATATCCACTTCTTTGTGTGATTAGGAGTCACTGGTCGCTGCATATTCATATTCTCGCCGACTTAGCATATTGCATTAGCAATACAACCGTGTTCTTTGTGTATTTTATGAGGTATATATGGGCTGGAAAAAAAAGCGTGGTTAAATTGTTTGTTTAGTCGCCGAGTCTGGGTTAAGGGACCAGTCGTGCGGCTTTGTGCTCCGATCCGCTTTGTGATCCTTAACTACGGCTTACATATTCATTCGCCTGTCGACATGCGTCCACCCTGCATATTTTGTCATCGTATTTACATTGTAAATAATAATGACGGCGATAATAACAAAAAAAAAAAACAGCCCAGGTACACCCGTGTTTGTGTTTTACTGTGATTGCGGCAGAGCAGTATTTTTTCCTCCTCATTATGTCGTTTTGCCTCATCCTTTGTGCCCCGTTTTGCTGCAGGCGTGCAGCCCTCTATATTTGCCCGTGTTATTCTTAGCTGCCGGATAGTATTTTTTCAAAACAATGTTATGTTAGGGTACAATGTTATATATGATTACACGTTAGTAGATGTCTGTGTAATATATGAAGCGGCATTGGGCATACTTGTATTATTTGCTTTCAGTCGTTTCTGATCCTTTGAAGGTACGTAGTATGGTCATCGTGTGTATGTGTTTTTTTTTACAGTTAATGGCCGTACGCGGAGTTGCAATATGCCCCCTCCCACCGAAGGGCCATTAGATTTATTTATTTACCGTGCATGCAGTCCGAGCGGGTTTTTATGTTGCAAAAGGCGACTGTCACTGACGCTACTGTAGCTTTTTTTTTTTTGTTTGTTTTTCGTTAGGCTGCGATCGCCCAAGCCCCCGTCCTCCAGTTCAGTTTGTAGCGGTGTAAAATTCACGGCTGCACGAAAAAACGACCAGCGGTAAATAGAAATGACCCGCACGCCTTAAAATAGGACTTTTCTCGGGGTGCGGGCTCGTTATAAGGAGCCTGCGAGCCCCGGGACCCCGTCGCTGCTCTGCCTTCGCTGCCTGTAAAGTTTTCCTGACACCATCGGCCCATTCAGACCCTGCATTTGCTTTTAACATTGTAGCAAAGTAAATTCGACCTGCAAATTTATGCATACGATAGCAGTCATTTCCTGTTAATAAGAATGCTTTTGACTGCTTGGGCAGTCTTTCATGATTATAATTGTGATGCACTGTTTAACTCATGCATTCAAATCACCCAGAACGACTATGCGAAGATGGCAGTACCCATTTCATACAAACCAGTTTGGTTGATTTGAACTTAACGTCCGCATAAAAATAGTTAGAAGTTACTTGAAATGTTGCTTATTTTTCTACTTTTTTGTCTACCTAATGATATTTGGTCTTAAGCAGGAGTCGCGCATTTTCTCAATGCCGGCTTAAGGTTCCGATGGCCGCGGTTCGAGCCGCTGTTTGTTTGCTTGCTGAATATGTTAAAACGTCTCATTAGAATGCCTAATTCGGGGAGGTTTATTTTATTTAAAAAAGACCGGGCGTATCTCCGCCTCTCATGTTTAATAATATTATATGCGGAGCGGAGGACCTCCAGTTTGTCTGCAGCCTGATTTCACACAGATCCGGGCGAACCGGACCGGTCCGGCTGTCGGCTCCTAGGTCGGAGCTGCGCCCTGGCGGTTGCGGCCGTGCCCTGGGCTCCTTAACTAGGCCGCAGGGTATACCTGTATATATCTAATTCCTCTCTTTTTACGTTGTGAGCGATTTAGTGATAAGTTTAAACGCATTCGTCATACTTGGAATATATTTATTTTAATAGAATCTGATAAGAAGGTAGATTACTATGATTTGATTAGGTAGCCTGTAGCCTATATATTAGTTCACACTATTAACGGACTTGGTCACATAGCAAATTATGTACTTCTGCGGTTTAATTCATGTAATGCTTTATGCTGTGCATGAAGGCAGTTTATTATGTTAAAGGATGTGTAAAAATAAATCCATGGCCTTCGGTGGATTAGGCCTATTAGGGCTATATAAGATGTACATGTCAAAGTAACGCATTTATTCCAATTCCTGCATGTTTCTGTGAGGAGAGTTATGGTATTAAGTGCTTGGCTGTGAATTAATGTAGGTCTATTGCACGGTGGATGATCAGTCGTAAATTCTCTTGGACGTACATAATGTAGTTTTTACAAACTACTGAAAACGGGGAAAATGACAAACACTATTGTTAATCACGGTACAAGTAATTAGCATGCGTCATAACTAATAATTTGGGTAAAATGAAAAAGGAAAGCTTTTTCTTAATTTTGGCTCGTTTGTTTCGGTTAATCGTCATTTCCTCTAAAAACGTCCTGTTGTCATCGATGTGGTATTTTATTTAAAGATATTTAGTAGCCATTTAGGCCTACTTAACTTTTTAATTAGATTTTATTGTCTTCGGAAGTCACCAAAGGGAACGAACCAATTTCCCGGCACCACTGAAACAATATTATGTAAAAATTTGCATTTTAACTTGAATCAGACTTGGTGAGAATTTACATCTTGTACTTTTCAGCTGTTCATGGAGGACGTTTATATGTAGGCCTACTGTATGAACAGTAGAACACTGTATGTGAAGATGTACCTGCATGTGTCAAGCAATTCTGATATACATTTTTTATATGTTGGTGAATCTGCATGCATGACAGTGATTTGCACATCCGAGACATCAAGCCACCTGTTCATGGGGAAGCGGATAACATCTTTCGCATTTTTATTCTGACCCCCCCCCTCACCCCACCCATTTTTTCCCCAGCCCTTTGTTCAGTTTCATAGCAGCAACAGCTAGCAATTTTTATACGATTTCTTTTGCTTTGTAACGTAATGAATGACTCGTGCAGACTTGCACAATGTTCAGGCTTCGCTTGCAAGCGCTGGGTGTTCTAATAGTTCTCTAGATCTAATCTGATCAGTCTACATGATTGTAACATTTAAATAAAGTGCATCAGTGTTATTTGGTAGTTGATTTTACTGTTTTTTCTGCCTTAACATATATGTCGTATCTTCCACTCAACAAAATGTACCATAAGCATTCAGGAGAATAATCCTTTCTGCAAATGATAGTTTGGCATTTATTTATATTCCTTTATCTTCCTGATGAAGAAATGGGTAGTGTGACTCTCAGTGGCCGGTGGAGGCTGGTCAGTGCGTATTTAATCAGTGTGCTGTTTTATCTGTGTAATTACCGTCCCAAGTAAGTGCGGTCCTGCTTGCTGCCCACGTGGTCTTGTGGTTGAGGAGTGGTTCGGTTCCTCTGTATTCCCGGTTATGCCTGTGCTGTACCTGCGTGTTTTGATCAGAGGAGCAGAATCTGAGGCTGTTAATTATTCATTGGCTTTCGTCTTCGCTAACCCTAATTAACACTTTATGGAAAAAAACATGGCTGCAGGAACGAGGATGGAAATGAACACCCTCGGCTTCTCTCTCCTCTGCCATATTAAGGGTGTTTTGCATGTTTCAATTTGCATTTTTTGTATTTGAATACGATTAATTTCTTTGAGCATCTGTTCTTGGTACAGTTTTTATTATTATTATTATTATTATTACATCACATTATTCCAAAAGGGCCACAGTAAAGGTGGCCTAATTAATAGCTAATTTAAAATTCTATTAATTAAATCATTTGCATAATGCATTATGGAGTCTGTTTTTTCCCACTCTACCAGCAGCCACAAAATGTAAATGTGTTTTTCTTTCTCTCCGACTTACCTGATTAGTCCCCTCATGTTTAAATTTATTGCTATTTTTTGGGGTAGTTGTGGCAACAGGGACCAGGAGAGCTAGTTCTGCAAAGTATCTAAGCGTTTGATGGACTTATGGAGCCTTACGTTCTCTTTTTCTGTCGCGGTACAGCAAGCACTGCCTTTAAACTTATCAGCCAACTGATCACACCGCTGTGCGATGCCTTCACACTGCGTGTGCAGTGCTGATTGGTTGTCATGCGGTCGAGGGCAGGACTGATGCGTACTCTGACAGATTAGTTTGGATGTCTAAATTTCTCTCAAATTTAGTAAATGCACAGCTTTCTTGTACTTGATGTGTTTTAGTCCCAAAAGGCATCATTTTTGTTTCGGTCACTTGGTTTGACTGGCATCTCTGGTGTTAATTTCCTTAAATTCGGTTTTCCTTGATCTTAGTGTTTGATGTAGAGCTTCATTGTGAGTCAATTGTAAGTTCGTGTCCCCCTCTCCATGCGACGAACCTTTTGGTCTTGAGTCTTTGGTCGCGGTTTTGAGGCCTGCGGATGGACGTCGTCTACATGTGAGCCCTTCACCTGCCCCCCCCTAACCCCTATCTCTGCGATGCCTTTCACTGTCAGCCCTTGCTCTTGTTATGGTGTTCCTCCAGAGGTCACTTTGCATTACAAATGTGACCTTTTTGTTTCTTCTGGGTCGGGAACCCCTGCTCGCGCCGTGCCGGGAGCTGGAAGACCGGCCGCTGTGAAATAATAATTAATGGGGGTACCTGAATGTGTGAGAGATCTGGGGTCGGAGTTCACTACAGTTCTTGAGATTTGGGGGTTGTGGGCGAATGGATTCCGTATGAATGCTCTGTATGCAGGATTACAGGTTATAATTCAGTCCACAAGAAGCTCAGCCTCCCCCGCCAGTTTCGCCACACCCCTGAGCAGAACCAGCAGAGCGTGATGTCCGTCATGATTCCTGTGCTGCAGCCCCGCCTCATTCCCTTCACTCAGACTTCAGGAATGTGGGTCTTGCTGTGGAAGTCCATCCCCCACCCCGCCCGTTCTCTCGCGTTAATGGCCTCCTGATTCCAGGTTGCTCCTGTGTCTAGCCAACCTCGCGTCCACCTCAAGCAGGAGTTAAAATGGACGAATGAAGGAGAGTAGGACGAAGGTGAGAAGATGAAAGCAGAGCAGGTGTAGCGGTAATGAGATGGATTCGTAACCTTTCTAAGGGAGGTGTCTTCGCGCTGGGCTTGGAAGTCATATTAGGAACTGGTCTGATGGAGCTGGGGGAGGGGGGCAGCTAAGCTCTGTACCGAATGGCAGATCCCCATCCCTGGCCTTCAGGATAACGAGGGTCATTTGGCTTCTGGACCTGGACTTTCCTGCAGTTGGCGCGGTAGAAGCTGGGTTGCCTGTCTGCATGTTTAAAAAAAGAAATGTAAACGACAAGCTCTCGATGAGCCACTGACGTTCTGAAGTGATGTTTATCATCAGTGCCCAAAGTGCATAATGAGCGGTGATGCATCTGCGTCACCACGACTGTGACGCCTCACAAACATTTATTGACTCGAGTGCCATTTTGATACCATCTTGCACGCAGAGTTTTGCAATTCTATTTTGCGACCATGGAGGTTTGTAGCAGTGGAGGATTCTGGGCCGGCGTGCATTCCCCAGGCCCCTGTGGTGATTTGCGTGCTTCAGGAGACCTATTCCCCCCCCCCCCCCGCCTCACGTGCTTCTGCCATGATCGTGATTGCCAGCGCGTCCCGGGAACTTCATTACGCTTCCCCCCCCTAATTACACCGCTCCGTCGCCGCTGCTAATTACCTCTGGCCCCCCCATCCGTCACCACCACTCTGACTTGCAGTTTCACATTTTTATTTAATTTTTTTTTTTCCCTCAGCAGTTCGTTTTATTTTTTTGTGCCCTCCTACAGAACGATCCAATTAATATGGTAATGTTCTGATAAATATTTATGGGGCATTTAAATTATGCAGAAAGCTTTCGGTGCCGAGGCGCTCGCGGACTTCAAAGGGCCCTTTGCCACGCTAACGAGGAAAGGCCGATTTGCATAGAGCTTTAATCAGCTGCATACTGATTAAGGCTCATTATGGGAGCTGCCAGCTGCAATCTTTGTTTCTGTTTTTTTTTTTTTTTTATTCTTTCCTCCAAACTCCCCCCCCCCGCCCCCCCAACCCATCAGAAGAGAACTTTTCCCGCTCTGGTAGTCGTGACGATCGTGCTTTTCCGTGAGAGGCAGCGCGTTGGAGGAGCACGGCCGGGACCTGCACGCGGACAGAAGCAGGGATTCCACGTCTCCTCCCTGCCCACTCCTCACCCCAGCAGCACCGCCTTGTTCTTCGCTGATTTTGCTGGCCTAGCAGGTGCTCTTTGAGGGTTTTTTTTTTTTTTTTTTCTAACCCTCCTCCTTGGTCCTCCTTGGAGTTGGCAGGACGAGGCCAGGATCAGACTGTCTGGAGGCAGGCTGTCACTGTGGGTGAGAGATTCCTGTGTTTCTGGGTCTGTGTGTGTGTCTGTCTGATTTTCCTGAGTGTGGGGTTTTCGTTGGTTATTTGTGCTATAGTCTCATACCCTGGCGTCCCCATGTGATCCCATGTGCCAGTGTGAGACCTCGCTGTGCATGGTTCAGCCCATAGAGATCTCCGTGCCTCTCATCACCACCTTGCCACGAAGTGGTTGACCGCTGGGGGCCTGTCTGCTGGTGTCCCATCCGCTGACGTCGCTCGGGTCCCCGCGGAGCCCCCGCTTGCGTGGCTCGGTGCCATCGTGGTGCCATCTGGACGCTTCTGAGTCATCCTCTTCGCTCTTCCTTCAGAAGTAAAGTGGGCTTCTCATCTCTGATGGCACTTCTTGGGTGCCGGAAGGTCAGGAATATATCCCCAAGGACCCGTGTGGGCCGAACCCGAGATCCGACAGCTAGGCGATAGAGCCAACCTGAGCTGTTCTTTTCCATCTGTAAGGTTCAGGCACAGTCACGTTTGCATTGTATTCTAGGGGATTCCATTCAGGTTTTGTCAGGGTCAAAGTTCAGAATGGCTGCTGTGGAAGTTAACTGTTTGTTTAAGCTGCTTTGCACTGACCTGTGATTGAGTATTGAAAGGTTTTTTTCTACTTGGTTCCACACCTGATGACGATATTTTTAAATCCGCCACAGATTGCCGAGTAGTCGTGTTTTTTGCAGGTGGTTTCGTAATTCTGGGAACTCGTGAACTAACCGGCCACTGGGTTGGGGCGGTGATGGGTCGTGTGCCTCATTTAGCTGACGTGTTTGTTTAATGCAGACTGTGCCGCTCTGTCGCCGAACGCCTGGGTCAGGGTGAGTTAAACGCCTCCCCCCCCCACCCCCGTGAACCATTGTCTTCTGCCTCTTCCAGATTCGAGAATGAGCGATCCGTCCGAGCGGACTAAGGAGGCCATGGAGAGCCGGGACGGAAGTGCAGGTGAGTAACCGGCAAAGGAACTCCCCGATTTATTTATTTATTAGGATCCGTTAGTTCACTTGACGCTTGTGTTCGGATTTAAAATGGAGGCATTTCTGGACGAACATTTGGTTGGAAGGGATGGTGATGCGTGGGAGGTGGCTGTATTGGCTTTGGCAGGCCTTACGCTAGGACACTATTTTTTGATCCTTTACCTCCAGGTGCCCAAACAAACGGACTGGACTTTCAGAGGCAGAGCTCGCAAACGACGAGCACCATTACCAACGCCCATACGCAGGCTCTGCTGCAGCAGGTAAGGCAAGGCCCCCGCATGGCCGCACTTCCCTCCCGACGTGCCACAGCCTGTCAGTGAGGGCGGTGTTGAGAAACAGCTCTTATTGTGGAACCGTTATCAGGAAGAATACTGGTCAACCCCCTTGGCCCCCCCCCCCCCCCGCCCTTTTCGGTTTACTGTGTGGTGTGTGCCTGTGTGTAGGGGGGGGGGGTGTGGAATGCAGCCACAGAAGGGTTTAAAATGACTAGCCAAGAGAAGCTCCCACAGTTTCCATGGCAAACACTTTGTTGCCTTGGTGCTATGGCTGGCAACAGAGTGGCACATTTTTTTGTGCCGGGTGCTTATTATCTCGGGGACGAACGAGAGCAATCAGCGCGATATGCTAATCGGCTCTTCTGCAGTCGCTTGGAAACAGGTGGCAGAGGGTATGCAAATCTGCGCAGAATTTACATGCTCTGCATAACCAGCTTTTAATTAACATACCCCCCCCCCCCTTAAAATTCCTGTGGGCCGTGGCTTAAAAAGCTTTTAATTTCACTGTTTGAAGCCAAATAAAGTCACGAAATTGCTTTCTAAAAACAAGGCGTTTAAAGCTGCTTAGAATTCATGTTTTGTATGCCTTTGTTTGATACACCCGGGGGCCGTGTGTGCGCGCGTGCGTGTGTGTGCGCGTGTGTGTGTGTGATGTGTGTGTGTGTGATGTGTGTGATGTGCATATTGCATTGTGGGGACAAATGTCCCCACAATTGGATAAAAACCTGTTATTCTGACATTGTGGAATCCTTTTTTTCAGTCCCCACAAGGGAAACTCAGTTTTAGAAATATCTGTCACTACAATCATATTTTCTTTGGTTACTTATAGCTACAGATGGGGCTGGGTAGGGGCTGAAGGTGCCACATAATGCATTTTTATTTTTGTTTATTTTTTCAAATTCTCTGGTGTCTACATAGAAGGTATGTGAACTTGGTTTGGTCAAAAAATGTCCGTAGTGGTTTTATAGGCCCATTTACTATCCTATAATTTGGTTCTAGAATTAAATGGGCTGTTTTCCCTTAATTGGTGGGCTCATTAATATGTTAATGAGCTCTGCTCTGATTGGCTGGTTTACAGTGAGGCACCAAGTATGGCTCTCACAGAACCAATATAGATCACTACAGGTGAGGTAAAACATGGAGCATTTAGGCATGCGATCGTATATGTTTGAGTCTGTATCAGAGGAGGAATCAGATGTTGAGGAGCAACCAGTTGCTTGGAAATTACAAATGAATACTACTGTAATAGTCCCACTTCAGCTTAATGCTACGTTCACACTGCGAGCGGCGAGAGCGTCAAAGCGACCGGAAGTCATTCATTCTCTATGGGAGGGAGCGTCAGGAGGCGTCGAGGAGCGGCGCGGCGCGGCGCGTCGCGATCTGGGCGGCGGGAGCGTCAGACAGAAGTTGAATCCCAGTCAACTTTATGGTAATGAGCTGTGACGCGGTTGGGCGGCAACCAATGGGAATGTACTGTAGAGATGCTCCGCTAAAGAGAGCGCCGCAGAACATAAGCGTGTAAACTTTTGTTCCGACCCAACCGTTCCTAGGCACAATG